CGATTTCCCCCACCCTGTCCCACTTGGCTAGAGCCCTTCTGCTAGAGACGAACATCGCCAGTCACAGCACCTGTACCCTAACGCACCTCGCTTTCCTGTTAAGTGACGGTAAAACTTTCGTTTAGAGGACAAGGTTAACGATGGCTTTACTTCTGAGCTGAGTAATGGATGGGGTGGTGATGACGGGGCGTGGTGGTGGTTGGGGGGGGTGGCTAGCTTTTCTCCTCCCCTTCTTAAAATTAAAAAAAAAAAAGGAAAAAAAAAAGAAAAAAAAAAAAGAAAAAAGCTACAATCTTATAGACTAACCTCAGGAATATCAAAAAAGGAGCCCAATATTTTTTTTTTTTTAAGTAGGTCGCCACAGACCTAGTCATTTACAGTATAACGAATGCGATTATTTCCTTCATAAATTTTAAATACAAGCAGAATAAAAATCACATTTTTTTCAGGCAACAGTAGCAGTTCAGTAGGTAAGTGGCTTGATCACATTTTTTGTTTTGTATTAGTAATGCATGCAAGCAGCTTTAGTATTACAGATCCCTTATAGGTCACGAAACGTTTGCTCTCTTTATAAAGTCCCTCCGTAAGTACCATCTTGTCTTCTCACGGGAGTTTCGGGCCGGCTGGAGGAGCCCGAACCTTGTTCAAAAGGTTGCGGAGTGCTTTGGGTATCCGATGCCATGGCATCTGTGGCAGCTGCCTCCGGTATCACAGAGCCAGCCCCTTCGGCATCCTCGCTCTGTTCGAAGGACTGGTTGGATCCATTGCTTAGCTCTACGTTCACTGTGTTAGTTCTCAAGGCTACTATAGTTCCCGAATCGCTCCTCCTTTCTGCATAGATTCGCTGCTCAAAGACCTGAGCAGTGTTGGGCTGGAATTCAGGATCCAGGGGGACACTGTTTGTGGTGGAGCCCATGACCGTGCGGTACATCTCCATCCCTTCCGGCAGCATGGACTTAATCTTCGGCAGCCAGCGCTTGCGGACCCGGCGGGCGTTGGTGCACATATCGGCTGCTATAACATTCATCTCGCTTTCCTTAAAGCTCGGGGCAAAATTCTGACAATACACTGCAAAGACAGGGATACATAGAGCTGAGGATTCAGAGAAAGCAACACGAAGGCGGCCACAGCCTCTGCCCCGTCCTAGAGACCTGCCGCAAGGCTTAGCACGGGCAGATGCCACGGAGCATAGGGTTCACCCGCAGGCCAGAGCTCTCGCAAGGAGAGACTTACAAACAAGGGCTCCTCAGCTCGAGATAGACTCAACCCAGGAGAGGTAAAACCAGGAGGCATAACATTCCCAGGTGGCATGGGGAAGGGGGCTGGAGAAGGACCCAGCGAGCCTCGGAGGTACCAGGCTCCTGCCTGCAGGACCCAGCCTCCAGCCGGAGCGCGGCACCGCGGCCGCAGCACGCTGGGATGGCCAAAAGCAGAGACGGACACGGAAAAGGTCAACGCGAACTCCTCAACAGTGGATCCATTAATGGCTCTTAAAACCACGGTGGTGCAGGCAGAGCTGCGGGGCCGGGAAATCTCAGAGGCGCTCTCGACCCGAAGGACCATCCTCTGCCCGTCCCACACCTCGTGCCGGCCACCGCAGGGCCAACCAGCACCGCCTGGACCACCAGCCCGGCCAGCCTGGCTGCTCCAGGATCCTGGCAGGAGCACGTCAGCTGGCACGCACCCTGCAGAAGCCCAGCAATACCTCGGCTGCAGCCCTGCTCCTCCCTGGGGGCCAAGCACCTGATGTTACGGAGCAACATCATCACGCTGCCATGGTGAGTATTTATCAACTCAAGCTTGTGCTTGAGTTGAGAGAGAAACGGGATGTTTCTCTACAAAATTCAGGCAGTAAGATGTCATCTAGTTCCCTGACAGGTGACAGAGAGTCGTAGGCACGGTCACTGGACAACAACACCTTTCCAACCTCTGAAACTCTTTGCAAGGACCAAGGCTGGAAGGTCCAGACCCAGGGCTCTCCAGGGTGAACTCCTCTCCTCTGCCAACTGGGAGCCCGTCTCAGGAGAGCACCACGCACAAGCTAGGGGCAAGCACTAACAGCACGGTCTAGCGATTTTGCCTTCATGTATTGAACAACTTCCATCTTAGCCCTTTTCTCCACGTGCTACAGATCTCAGAGGGTGGCTGGAAGGCCCCTGGAGCTCAGCAGCACAGCAACA